CTTTACCCTTTTATATTGAGAACACTGCACATTTATTTTAATTGGATAACTGAGCTTTTCTGCTTACTGAGCTGTCTGCCTGACATTTGCAAAATGCAGCTTTTTTCCCCCAACATAACCTAACTGTTCATTTTTATAAGGCCTGTCATCCAAACAGGCAGAACCTAATCCTTAATTAGTTGTCATATTTGTTTAGATGTTATACATCATCCATTGGACTGAACTGTTTGGTTTACTGTCCTTTCATAATGTCCATTAAATGATTATTTTTGCATTCACTTATGTTTTATTTAACAGTTTTCTTATGTACTGAACTCCTGACTCACAGGCTTTTTGCTAAACAATGGAATCATTAAATTGGTTAGGCATGCAGGCTGCCCAGGCACTGCGTGGGTAAATCAAAGCTAACAGAAAGCAAACTAAACCAAGTCATAAGCAGTGCTGAGAAGCAGACTGGAGTGCTGTAAAGTACCCTAAACACAGTGAGCTGTTCCCCACTTTGGATTTTCAGCTGTAAATCTCTTCTGGAATCAGGAACCTACAACAAGCCAACCTGTCTTATGGGAAAGAGAAGGGCCACTCCACTGTCATCCGATCCCTGTTAAGCAAGCAATGGGGTCATGGAGGCATCTTTTCACTCTGATAGGGAACAGGGACTGGAATCCAGGGCAGAGTCCGAATCAACAGACTATCCAAGAAGTGTTTCTCAATGACTAATTATTTAAGTAAAATGGAAGGTCTTTAACAGAAGAACTGAGAATGACTTGACCCAATATACACATGGTAGCTACATACAGAAAAAAACATTCCTGTATTAAGTTGAGCCAAGAGAAGATTTTTAAAACCATCTCCCACATATACTTGTGAGTGCTTTGAACATGGTTTCAGTGGGCATGGCAATCACCTCCACCTCCCCTTCCACCCAAAACTCTCATTCTTAGTACCCCTACCTAACTGGGTACTGCAAAACACATAAACCAAGATCGCCTACCTTGAGCATCCTGATAGGACACTAGGTAGGAATCTGAAAAGTTTGACAGCATCTGCTGCAGAGAGCTAAACAACAGCTGAACAGGAGCTCCTGGCCCTGAATGCTGCCTGACTGGACACCTCAAATGACATTGAAGTTTCCAGGTCCCTTCGTGGATATAATTCGAAGTATCTGCTCTTCACGAATGGGTAATCCACATGTTTCATTGCTTTGTTGCACAGCAGGAGTTATAGCCTATCCAACCAAAGCAAGTGGTGAAATGCTCAGGTAGTCACATCACTGTTTCAACTACACTGCCATTGCATTAGGTTCATCCTTTGTTTGTGTGGATACAGGAAATGTATCCCCACACTTAAATACAAACCAGCGTGAAATAAAAACCTTTCTTTTCCAAGTAAGAAAATAAGGACCAGCTCTTGGATCTAGAAGTACTTTTAATCTTTTTCCTCCCCATGCTAATCTCAGTCTTATCTCATTGAGAGAAAAGATTCAAGCTGAAGATATACTGGCCCGTACTACGTAGGTTTTTTTCTGATCCTAGTCTGTGTCCGTTGTGCTCTTTGTGAAGTGCTGCAAGACAATTATCAGTATGCAGAGGACTAGGTAAGGGCTGGAGAGGCATAAAAGCTGCCGGAGAAAAATTTCCAATTCAGACAAAAAGCAAACATCTCCATTGCTGTATGAATCAAGTTACGTGTGGTAAAGACTCAAGGTCTAGTCTGGAAAGACGTGGCATAAAGCTCATGTTATAGTGAGAGGTGAAGCGTATGCCCTTTAGGAATAAATGAAGCATTATAATAAACTTTTATAATACTGATAAGATGACTGGTTTTGATGACACTTTCATAAATTCTTCAGACCTCCCAAAATCATTGTCTCCCTTCTGATCTCACCTCCCACTCAAATCTTCTCTTCCCACTGAAACAAGGTTGCTTTTTTTTTTTTTCTTCTCTCCCCTCCACCTACCAAAATGATGATATTTCAGCTCTACTTTAGGGAGGAAATAATTTGAACAGCCTTTTTTCCTCATGCATCTGTACTGTAAAACTGAAAAAATGTGGCAATAGGAACACGTCAAACTTGCAAAGAATCACTTGAGGTATGAAACTGCAATACGGCAAAACAGCAATTCAAACTGAAGACAAAGTTCCCAGAAAGTTAAAGAAAATTAAATTCTAGTTAAAAAACTTAACATTTTACCCAAATAGGAAGCTAATAAACAACCTGTATGCCCTTAAAGATGATCAAGGACAGAGTAGTACAGGACATGGTATACAGGGATAGTTCTAAGATTTCCTAAAAAGATTCAATTTAATCTTTGCTATACGATCTGCTACAATTAAAGCAGTATTAGAGCTTTAAATAATTGGAAAAAATACCCTGAAAAGCTTACTGCATTTTCTTTTTTTTCTTTTGGTTACACACGATGCTTTGCTTATTCTCTGGCCAATTGTTCAATAAACACGAAGTTTTATTCAGTTAGCGTGTGTTGGCTACTCAGCCAAGAAAGGAAGCACTACTGCATTAAATCATAAATAACGATACCAGACAACATGTAGATGAATCCAACCACGTGAAAATTATGTGGTCTTTCAGGTTCTCTGGGTGTGCGTTTGGTTACACACGATGCTTTGCTTATTCTCTGGCCAATTGTTCAATAAACACGAAGTTTTATTCAGTTAGCGTGTGTTGGCTACTCAGCCAAGAAAGGAAGCACTACTGCATTAAATCATAAATAACGATACCAGACAACATGTAGATGAATCCAACCACATGAAAATTATGTGGTCTTTCATGTTCTCTGGGTGTGCATGTGTGTGTGTCTGTCCCCCACTCATGTTTATCTGTTCACATGCTTCTCACCTTCCTTCAGTCCAAATCTTACTCAGTATTACTACCTTTGTCATTTCATCCAGCCACCAAAGGAAACACTGTCATTGTATCCCTCATGCATGGTGTGGAGGAGAGTACGCTTGAACATTTAGTGCTCATATTTCATATAAAGCTATAAAGTAAGCATAACATAATACCTCCCCACCATTCCTGGCAAACATCAGGGTTTCTTCTCTTTACTTTCCCAGAAGGATCCAAGCACTTTTTAGAGTAAAGCCTGCTGCTAAACTGCAAAACACGCAGTATTTAATCCCTTATCTTTACGTCTTCTCTTCCTCTGCTAAATTACATTATACTAGGAACCCAGGTAGAAGAGTCGTGTAATTCTGTTGGCGTGCATGTGGCATGATTAATGGCACATTAAACTCATCAGCCTCATCATGACCTTTCAGACTGATGGGTAAGTCTAGACCTACAAGCACATAGTTGTCTTTGCTATGACTTGGATGACAAAGCTGGGAGTGACAAGAAGGAGCCTTCCAGAACTGCAGAAATTCCACTGTTGGTTTCAGATCAACAGAGTTACCTTTCCTTCCTCTCCTGTACTTGAAGGTGCACAGAACTAGAAGCTGTCCATGAAAAAGACAGCTAAACAGAAGGCTAACTCCCATCGGCCACCGGAGAGAAGTGGTGCAGGGCTCAGATGAGAGCAGCGGGCGCATACTCATAGCAACTGGCCCTCCCCAGTAATTGGTGCTCCCTGAGCAGCACTTGGCTGAGCAGCTACAGTCACATTTCATCTCAGAGGTCAGGTGCAGATCAGTGGTATTTTTGTGATCCACTTAGATGAAATGTCCTGTTTAAATGCAGTCAGTTTGGAAGATGCCTTTTTTTCTTCCTACGAACAAAAACCAATTCCTCCTCATGCATCACGCAGTGTTGCCTGAAAAATACATCTGATACGGGATTAAACTTGCCTTTTTGGGAAGCAAACCTTCAACCCGGTCCCGTGCTGAGTCTCATCGCTCTGGCCTCTGACTGAAAAGCAGCAGCAGCCAAGACTGGGCCCGCTGA